TTTTTTTTTATTGGGACGCTCTAGTGGGTGGATCGAAGCTAATGAAAAATCATTATTATTTCTTCACCACACTTTGTGTTTTTCATTTGTTTAAATATCTTTCGTGTACGTGAACCATTCAATATTCAATTCGAATGATAATTTGATGTAAGATAAACATTTAGGTTATAAAATTGTTATATATGCATAGTAGGTGTAACATTATTTCGAATAACAAGGAAACTAAGAAGGATAGGGACAGTTCATATATAACAGATAGAAAAGTGCTTACCGAATGTCAAATCTCTGGGTTTGGTTTCAACAAAAATAAAAAATAAAAACCAAAAATTCATGCGACAAAACAAATTAATACGTGTATAATATTTCAATTTTTGCTTTCGATAGTCAAAGTTAGACGAGCTAAACCTGAGACACCCTGTATATATTACAGGAACAACTTCAATTTGTAATCTCCATATTCCTTTCGAATCTACTATCCACTATTTCGATCACATTTTATTTTGCCAACATTCATCATTGCGAGGTATATTTTGACAGATTGCGGTATTTATTACCAGTTCGGCATTATAACTTTTGCTCATACAAATAATGCACAAATATTGAAAAACGCAAATGTCAAAGTCGGAATACTGAAGTAAACTGAACAAAAACAATATTCCAATCCCCCGTGTATAACACGAATTCCAGGATTTTCGGACCCTTTATGTCCGCCGCTTTTATGCTCACCGCCTTTATGTCCATCGCTTGCCGCTTGCCAAACATGTTCAATCTTTTATCAGCTAATTGGGTGAGTCACCTGGAGCGAAACTATTATTTTTCAATGAGAGATTTCTCTGTTTATCTATTTCCAGAAGGCAAATTCTTAATGTTGACAAGAATATTAAAATATATGTAACTCGTATATTATATAATACCAGTTATTACCTAGAATAAATATGATGGAACTTCTGGCATTCCTTATATTCGCATTTTGAAATTATTGGAATTGGTGTCCTACCTGCAAACCATACGTATTTTCATTATATGGGTTACCTAATAAACGTACCTATACGTCGTATACAAAAATTCAATCAACCCATCTAAAACTTCTTTTGGTTTCATCTCCAGTGCTAAAATTTTCTGAATAGCTCCAGTGCTACTTTTTATGAATGAATTCACTATTCATTCAATCATTTATAGTATCCATGTAGAAGTGCATATTCGTGTGAGGGCGCTCGTATCAGTGAAGAAAAATGATCCAAAATTGCGTCTGCAGAGGTCCAGCAAAAATCACTTTTGATGGTGATATTTTGAATGGATCCTTGCGAATTTTTTTGACAACGAAGATAAATGTATAAGTGAGGCATCTCTCGAAGTACTTTTCGAAAAAAATATATACCTAGTGAGAAAAAAAATAGTGAATCTGGTCAATTTTCTGGAATTTTTTTCGACTATTTTTTTTCAAAAATTTGAAAAAGTACTCCGAGAGATGCCTAGATCCAACCTTCTAGAAACGATCCGTGAAAAAAAATCTTGAATTTATTTAGCGAGCTTCGAGTATTTTGATTTCTGCCGTTCCTTGTTTCCCCAATGATCGCTCATAGGGTTAAACCCCTCTTAACAATTTCAAATTTCGATTTTATATGTCTTTTTCAAATCAAAAGCTCATCAAAAAGTATCAAGTCACCAATTTATAATGTATTAAATTTCACTTTTCAATATTAAGCAAATTTCTAAAAAAAAAATTCCAAACTATTTTTCAAAACTTTTTTGAAATTGAAAATTCGAAAAAAAAAATTCAATTTCTTTCGAATAGCTAAAAGCAGTTTACTTACTTACAGGTACGCACTGATGATGATTCAACAGTCGAAAACGCTCTGCTACTAATATTGAATAAATTATTTTGCACGAAATACGAATCTTCCCTTCTTTGGCCAACCTGCTATGTCTGAAGTAATATCAACTGTCTTTCGTTTGGGATCATCATAATCATTATCAGCAACAGACTTGTGTCATCCGCGTAATTTGTTAAAAAAGTAGATGTATCAAAGATAATACTTGGTAAATCATTGATGTACAATAAAAATAGCACAGGACCAAGGACGCTGCCCTGTGAAACGCCTATTGTGATATTTTTTTCTTCTGATTTGCAATCCACAGAATTATCTCTGATGCTCACTCTCTGTTTGCGATTGGTTAGATAAGATGTAAACCATTTGTGTGCAATATCCCGAAAACCCATTTTTTGTGAGAGAATAAAATGGTTCACACAATCAAAAGCCTTTGATGAGTCCAGAAATATACCATGGGCCATCCGTCATCTAAATATTCAAGTAATTTTGTAAGAAAACTGAAAATTGCTGTTGTAGTTAATTTATCTTTCTGGAAACCATATTGATTTTTTAGGAGAATATTATTCAAGTTCAGATAAGGGATCAATATTCTGCACATCAATATTTCAAATAATTTTGCGAAACTGGATAGCAAACTTATAGGTCTATAATTTTGTAACATGAGTGGATCTCCTTTTTTAAATAACGGTTTCACAACTGCGATTTTTATTTTTCATGTTCTCCTTTTGAATGTTCATCAGATATAATTCAATGTTCGACGTGGCAAATAGCCAGGAAAGTAGTTGTTTTCTGTTGAATATTCAGAATGATGTGTGCATATACATATTTTTGTCTGAAGGAGAATGCAAATTCTCAATTTCAGAAGTTTTTATATTTCATTTTCAGACTCTTATCGTGTGTGTTCAATAGATATAATTCAATGTTCGTCGTGGCATATAGCCAGGAAAGTAGTTGTTTTCCATTGAATAAACTGTTTTACCACCGACCAAACCGATTTTTTAACGCCTCGACACGTGTTTCGCTAACTATGTTAGCATCTTCAGGAGAAGATTAAAACTGAGTGAGTTGAAATTTTCGAATTTTTGTTGAAATTAAAAAAAATGGCTGCTCCAAGATGGCGGCAAGATTTGGTCCGATTCCATTCAAAATTGGTAAGTGGGGGTTTTTGAGGTCGGAGATCATAATTTTTTTGTTAAAATTTATAAATTCAAGATGGCGGCTTCCAAATAATTTTTTGTTTTTGTATAAATGAAGATAACTTCGTTGTTATCAACAACACAAAACTATTACTGCGACATATCATCTGTAAGAGAAAAAAAAGTTATTTGTAACTAAGTCATAGTGAGCTTTGACCTACATTTGAGAAACTAAAGTTGGTGCTGATATCTCAAATTCTAGAAGAGTTGGTAAAAATTTCATATTTTTTTCGAAATCACTTTGAAAAACTGCCATGAGAATGTGAAATTCTTATTTGAATATTTTCATAAATAAAGAAGTTACGGAGGAGACATGAAAATGATCAAAATCTGTTTTTTGCGTATAAAACAAAAACGAATAGATTTTATCGAAATATTTTGTCACATTATAGTTGGCCTTGACAAACTCCACATTTGGTGTCATTTAACCGACCTCGTATCTCTCACCGTTAAAAAGATACCATGGTGAGCATGGTAAGTACGACAGACTGTATGCGAACGAGGAACATACTTGACCAACTGAATTTGTCTGTGCAAATACTGATACAGCTTCTCAGACCTCGAGAATGCCATAACTTTTGCAAGAACCAACACACTACATAGCAGTATAATCAGTCCAGGTGAATTGAAATATATTGTATATATGTATACTATGCTCGAAAACCTTATGAAAGAACAGTTGTTATTCACCAACGAAAGTGAGCTACTCAAATACTATGATGTCATCTCCGTAGACGCCTACTTTTCGAATACAATGATTGTCTTCATTCTGCACTTTCCTCTTCTACACCCTGAGATATTCACCCATTATAACCTCTATTCCATTCCTGCAAGGAATTTGACCACTATTAGACCACCTGCACCCTATCTGACAATGAATTCTGCACTATACTAATACATGAGATTCGATATTTTTGGAGTAGATAAACTTCAACAGGAAGATTTGGTCGAATCAGAGTGGACGGACATCCTGACCTTCATCAGAAGGACGGGAAGGTACGAGAAGGATAACTAAAAGAGGGATGTGTAGATATGTGGAGAGCAGGGGTTGGCAAAAAGGACCCATGGGGGCCTACTTGCCTGGCTACAGCCTCCCCACAATACTACTACTACTACTACTGCTACTACTTCCTTTTATTTTGAAATTCAAATATTAGGCAGGTACTTCTTGCAATTTCCTAAGAATAATTTGAAAAACACAAATAATCAAGAAACTGTTAGGAATAACTCATAACATGTTGGTATCCTCAGATAGGTTATTCCATGTAGAAAGAGAAGACGAACTGTTATACAGGGTGCCCCATTTGAAGAAATCGCATAAACTTGAATCGAAGTGGACGAAAATGAAAGAAATTGTTGAAGCACCCAGTATGAAAATCGATGAAGATCAGAGTATTACACGCTACTTTGGTTTTAACGTCAATCCACCAGACAAAATTCAGATCTTCGAAGAAACAGCTCAATCACAGTTATTTCATTCAGAGCCTGCAGCACTCTCTATTTTTTCGAGAAAATTAATAACTTGGCAACGGCGCATTGTGGCGAAAAAACAATTTAGTGCTGAGTAGGCAACGAAGGGACCATTTTAATGACAGAAAAATAAACGGGTTGTTCTATTTGAAAAATACATATTTTTGTTATAACGGAAAAATGCACCCTGTGAATTAGGAACTATTTTTAAAATGTGGCTTTCGTGGTGCCATAAAACTTTTATATGAAACTTTTTTTCATATATTACAGCATTATCCAGATATCGGGCAAATACGCACTGTTGGGATACCCAAGGGTGCTTCAATGGAACCTCTCAAAATGCGATGTGACAAGATTCGTGAGAACAAGAAGATCCTACCTGTGGAGGTATGTTTCATCACAATCATCACAACTTATTTCGTTTATTCCTGACTGACTTTATCTTTCGGATCACCCAATAAATTGCCCAACTTTGACCCAGACTGATAAACGCTTTCGAAACCTAATTCTTTGAAAACCTTATCAAATCCTCTTGTGTACTTGGGATTTTCCTCGGTTTATTTTTATCCGCTTGAAAAGTCGTAGAATTCCTGAGTGATAACTCAAATTTATGCCTACGTATCAATTTATCTACTATTTTGATATCATAACCATTGACGCCAGCCAATTCATGAATACCATTCCTTTCAACATCGAATCTTTGTTTTCTCAGAGGAAATAAAAGTAGAATATGTACTAGGAAATTTAAAATAGCCATTTTGTATGGAAAACAGTGATTGAAGTCATCAGTTATGTATCTAGGAGTGTTAGTTTCTTTTCTAAAAACATCAAATTCTAAATTGTTTTCGCCATTTTTTATCACAAGAACATCTAAGAATGGTAATTGACCGTTGTTTTCGCATTCAACAGTGAAACATGCTTTGTCAATAAGATTGAAATCTTCGACAATAAAGTATATTTTTGATTGATTGATTGATTGATTGAATTTGATAAAGGGGAAGCAATTATTCAATGGTGAAATAAAGTTGTCTATATCTGTTTTTGTATGAAAAATGGAAAAAATATCGTCGACATATCTAATCCAAACCCTAGGGAAATAATCGAATTTTTCTTTTGCATTCGTTTCAAACTGATTCATGAACAATTCATCCAAGAAAGGTGATATACAATTACCCAATCCAAGAAAGGTGATATACAATTACCCATGGCTGTACCTTCATGCAGAGGTTTCTGAGATTGACCAATTCTTTGATATTAACCGGATCAAGGTTGTTATATTCGAGTAATTCCCCTATATATTTCGAAGTTGTTGGTATGGGTACACTTGGAAAAAGTGATGAAACATCAAATGATTCGCCTTCGGTCAGATTCAAACCTTTGACCTTTTCGATGAATTCAAGCGAATTTGACACAGAATGATTGTTGTAAGGATTATTTAAAGTTTTGAAAACTTCAACCAACCACTTTGAAATATTGTAAGTAGGAGACCCAATTGCGGACACAATTGGTCTCATTCTCTTACCGGTTTTGTGTATTTTTGTTGAACAATATAATCTTGGTACACTTGGGTTCGATATTTGTAATTTATATTTGTTATGTGATGTGATAAGGTTTGTATTATTTATTCGAAGTTGATTTGACCTGACTGACCTTTTTTGGTAATGGATTTCTCGTTAATTTTCTTTAAGGACCATCTTCATTGAGGTTGTCAACCCTTTGAAAATAATCCTCTTTATCCATAAGGGTTTGGATTAGATATGATACGAAAATCACAGATATAGAAAACTCCATTTCACAATTGAATAATTGCTTCCCCTCTATCAAATTCACTTTTGAATGCGAAAACAACGGTCAATTTCCATTCCTAGATGTTCTTGTGATAAAAAATTGAGGAAATAATTTGGAATTTGATGTTTTCGGAAAAGAAAATAACACTAGTTTCATTTCCTCTGAGCAAACAAAGATTCGATGTTGAAATGAGTATTGTTAATAAAGTGGCTGGCGTCAATGGTTATGATATCAAAATAGTAGATAAATTAATACGTAGACATGAATTCAAGTTATTCGAGGAAAATCCCAATCGTTTTCAATCTCAAGTACTCAAGAGAACTTGATAAGGTTTTCAAAGACTTAGGTTTTGCAAGCGTTCATAAGTCTGGGTCAAAGTTGGGCAATTTATTAGTTAATCCACAAAATAGGGTGGACACACTTGAAAAGTCAGGAATATACTAAATTAGTTGGCGTCCCATAAAAACAAGGTTCAAAGAACACTTAGCACATTTGAAATAAGGTAGGTTAGATAAATCGTGTGTAGCCGAACACATGTTCGATCACAATCACACATATTCATAACCTGAAATTAGTTGAGCAATTTAACAATTTTAGGAAATTAGATGCATATAAAAGCTTAGAGGAAAATGGACCTATCCCATTTAGCCCTCTGTACAGTTCAGTAATATAAGACCAACATCAACAGGTGAACTCAACCATGAATAACATCATCTTAGCGGTTATTGTCTATTCACGGTAGGGTGGACATTTACGCATAGTATATAAGTAGCCCACTAGGATAGAGCATTTAGTTTCAATCTTCTCCTGACGATGCTAACATAGTTAGCGAAACAAGTGTCGAGTTGTAAAAAATCGGTTTGATTAGTGGTGAAACATTGTGTAATGTGTGCCATTTTCATTTACTTCGCGCATGAACTTACTCAAGGTGTCTGTGTTCGAAATTAAATTGATGTTCGCGTTGGTTATCGTAGATCTTGTAGTAGATGGCAACGAATTTGAATTTGAATGTCTACTACCTCAAGACATTGGTAACACCGTTGTTGTTTTGGCTTCACACAAACATTCCTTTTTCACGACAGGTATAACACACAATTTGAGTTTCACGTTTTCTATTCACCCTCGAATCCAACCATGTTTTTCCACATGCAATACCTCTTCTATTCTGTTGTTCAATTTCATAAAGCTGTAATAATTTCAATAGATCATTCAACAAATTAACAGCCATTTCAGTTCTGAACAACCTTTTCAATATCTCTATTCTAATTTCCTGAAAATGTAACACAAGCTTCAAACATAACCTCAGCTTCGCATGAAAAAAACTATTTATTAATAAGATCAGAACTTGTTGAATGTCTTAACTTATCACATTCATTTTGGTTCTTCGCCAAAGCTGTAGGAAGAAACTTCACTTCCAGCTCGTTTCCTCCTCTAACCAAGCCAACAATTTTGCGCATTTATTTGCTGGAAATTCCAATCTGGATTCATCGGGAAGACAACCTCCAAACATAACGCCAATTGACAGTTATATGCCCGAGATCACCTTTCGCCAACGTACTATAAGGAAGATTTTATAGGGTCTCAACACCAATAAAGCTTGTGGCTCCGACGGAATCCCACCGATTGTTCTCAAGAAATGTGCTCCCGAACTAACACCTGTTCCCTGCAAGTTGTTCAACTACTCTTACAAATTGGGGATATTCCCGTCCAACTGGAAAATTGCAAGAGTACAACCAGTTCCTAAAAAAGGCAAAAAAAAGCGCTACCTAGCAGACCGATCGCACTGCTATCTATTATTTCAAAGATCATGGAGGAAGCTATCAACATCGGGCTCATGAAATACCTGGAACATTCAGGTATTATCAACGATAGGCAATATGGCTTCCGTCATCAGAGACCAACTGATGACCTGCTCGCTTACGTCTGACATATATGGCAGCAATCTATTGAAAAATATGGTGAAACCTTAGCCGTGGCACTTGATATCTCCAAGGCATTCGATCGAGTCTGGCACCATGGACTCCTCGCCAAGCTTCCATCTTATAGCTTGCCTCCCCAGCTATGTTCCCTGCTAGCTAGTTTTCTCTCAAACAGGTCTCTCCATGTAGTGGTCGACGGAGTTTCATCTGACTCTCTTATCATAAATGCTGGTGTTCCGCGAGGATCAATTCTAGCACCAACACAATTTCTACTCCATATAAACGATTTGTTGGAAGCAATTTCATGTCCAGTACACAGTTTCGCGGACGATAGTACCCTAAATACCGCATTCTCTTTCAGGGCTCCATCACCATCCAGGCAAATCAGAAACGAACGAGGGAGAAATGTTGACAACATAAATATGAACTTGACAACAATTCTCGAATGGGGATCCAATAACTTGGTAGACTTCAATGCGAGCAATACACAAGCATGCCGTTTCTCTAGGAAATCCGATCTCACTGTGCCCAACATAAGCTTGTCAGGAGTAACCATACCTTTGAGGACAACCATTACGATGCTTGGTATTACTATCAGCAATAACCTTTCTTGGGAAAATCACGTGAGATCAATTGCTAAAAGTCTATCCCAAAAACTTGGTTTTCTGTTTCGAGCAAGGAGCTATTTCACTTCCAGTCAGCTGCTTATGATCTATCAGGCACAGATCCGACCTGTCCTGGAATACTGTTTCCATATTTGGAGTGCAGCACCCAAACATACCCTGAAACTGCTGGATTCTGTCCAAAAAAGGGCAATTCGTTTCGTGGGTGATGCCTCGCTCACAAACTCACTGACTTCTCTGGAACACCGTAGAAAAGTTAGCGATCTGACTCTATTTTATGGATATCTTCATGGACGATGCTCTTCTGAAATATCAACAATTGTTTCTCACTTGGCAGTGTCCGCGAGATTAACCCGTCGAGTTGAGGCTTCGCACCCCTTCATGGTCACTTTGGAGACCTGCAGACCATCTCTTTCCAAAGACTCGTTCATCCAACGAACAGCGAGGCTCTGGAACACATTGCTAAGGGAGGTGTTCCCCAAGGCATATAACCTCCAGAAATTCAAAAAGAACACCAATTCCTACCTTATATCCCTTGGTTCTCACATCACTCACAACAGGATATCCCTTTTCGTGGGTAGTATTCACCTTTTCCAACCATTTCTGCGGTCTCAGTATGTCACTGTGACCATTGAAATACTTCTGGAATTTGTGATATTAATCTCTAGGTTGTATTGGAACTCAATATATTCATCTGAACAATCATCAACTCAGTCATTCTCATCATCATTTGATTCAAAAAGTCATTTTGATTCACAAATCCTACCTGTCCTGCGACTTGTGCTGCCTGCCCACTCATAGAACCTACTAAAGAACCTACGCTACCGTTAGCTGTTCCTCAATCGGGTACACCCGGAGCTTCCAGCCGCTATACCATCTAACACTTTCTCACTCGCTTGAGACATCTCACCGATTCCGAAATGACACTATCCTGAAAACCAAAATAACAAAGGGGTTGATCCCACTTCTGAAATGTTAGAAATACGTTTCTTATTGATAGAAAGAATGGACGATGTAGTTGATGAACACAAATATAATTATGAAAATCAGGAAAGTATTCAGTCGCGCTCACACAGAATCGGAATGACAACCCCCGTCAGTACTATTACTACCGAGTGTCTCGGGAATACAAATAGTGAAATACTCAACATTATGAAGAATTCTTTTGGCTATCCATAACGAAAATACAGTGTATTATGCGATATTACCATAAACCTTTGATGGCCGATATTTCCGAAATGTTCCATCATAATTTGGGTTGTAATTGCGCCTGGTAGGGGGTTGAAGTTACGGGGATGAAGAAAGCAAGTCGTCCCCCCTTGAATCAGAAATCGACGAGTCCGAGCGATTTTCTGGATTTTTATATTCAACCTCTAAAAGCGGGGTGTGAAGTATTCGTTGGACTACCTACCCTGTACATAGGTGAAGACCTCGTTGGTTCCAGCACTGGGACCAAACGCCCCATAAGTCGAAACTTGTGCGGGGTTAGGTAAGCATACAAACACAAACATGCATGGCCTAACTAGGATTCGAACCCATGTCTCGGTGGGAGTTCCCATACGAACTCAGCGCATTCACGCTCTCGACCACCGAACCGCCTATATTTATAAAATAGAATCACAACCAATAATATTTATCTAGAATTTCGATCAAAAATATTTCATCTCAAAAAAGAAACGTCGCTATCAACACTGTATTTTCGTTATGGATAGCCAAAACAATTCTTCATAATGTTGAGTATTTCACTATTTGTATTCCTGAGACACTCGGTAGCAATAGTTCTGACGAGGGTTGTTATTCCGATTCTGACGGGTGTCTGTGTGAGCGCGACCAAATACTTTCTTGAGTATCATCATTATATTTGTGTTTATTAACTATGCCGTCCTTTCTTTCGATCAATTAGAAAAGTATTTATTTCGATCAATTAGAAAAGTATGTATGTATGTAACCGACTCATTTGGACTCGATTTTGACACACTTTGAACAGACCGATTGATTTGAAATTTGGCAGTGGCACATAATTCTAGTGGCAATTCATCATGAAACTATTGTTAGAACAAACAAAATGGCGGCTCCAAAAGGGCGGACAAGTTTTGTAATTATTTTTTATTTTCAAGATCGGAGATCATGAATCTTTTGTCCAAGAATTATACGACTACAGAAGGATAGTATATTTCCATAAGG